CCCCCCCCCCCCCCCCAATTAGCCATCCAAACAGGATATTTTTGAAACCGAATAGAATGTTCCACTGTTGACAGACAAGACACCACACAACCTTTGTGTGCTGTAAATAAGGAAAATGTACAGCTCAGTCGACATTATTGCTAAATTTCAGGGACAATTTGAAAGCAATAAAGAGCTAAAGATGCTAACGTTTAATTTCAAAATATAGGTTGTACAAACGGTGATTGTAACATGCAAGAAAATGCTATGGGGTGAAAGAAAACTCCTTTTACAATACAAAAATAATGTAAGTGATAATGATGGCATATATAAGAAATAAAATGTGTCATTTTAATGTTTTAAGCCAACATAACGACAAGTATATATCATTTCAACTGTTGATCATCCAGGACTGATTTTGTCATAGTTTTAACATTATATAGGTTGTCTACCTACCTGGCAATATTGCTGAAAACTATTAAGTGAAGTTACAACTTTCTTATTATATAAATGCAATACTATGATAATTTTTTTCAGATTTTTTTTTTTCTTTTTAGATAGAATTAAAAATTGCATTATCACATTCCTGTTACAAACTTCTATATAATACCACCAGCGTGTGTGTTTTATTTCTATCTATTTTAATACTGTACATGTGTATCATATCATAATAAACCTGTAGTAATTCGATGGCGTTGTTTTACATGGTGTGCTATAAGATTTACATCTCGTGTATTAACATTTGTGTGTCGTTTTTAACAAAAAGTTCGACTTTATTAATATAGAAACGAAAATTCCTTCAAACATAAAGATTCTAGTAAAAAAAAAATATATATATCTTCCGTGGTTAAATTTACACATTTTTTTTTTTCATGTATTTACTTATTTTTCTTATCTAATTTTAGTAGGTATTACTTATTTCGCCCATACACATGCAATTACCTGTATCGTTCTAGCTGCCACACCCAGACCGACCCCGCGTCCCACACCAGCTCCGATCAAAGGTACGTCATTAATATGGTGATTGGTTGGTTGATTAATTAGGTCTGCAAACACCAACAACGTATAGCCAAATATTTATAGGTCATAAAATACATATAATAATACAATTCGATATATTGTAATAAGCAGAGAATGCTGCAATATTGTTAGTTTAAAATAAACATATATTCATGATTTAAACCTGAATTTGTTTTATTGCAAAATAACAGAATCGCATATTATGAGTTACAATACTACTTCATTAAGACAAGGGAATCAACTCTGTCAATATTTTTGTTTTAAAACTTCTCAAAGCCACAGCAAAATCTGACTCTTCTAATACATTATCTGAAAAGAGACTGCTATGTTGGGCCGAGATAAGATCGAGATGGGACTACCACAGCACTCTTCCGCTAATACAATGCAGTATACAGTCTAAGTCATTATCTTTCAGATTGTCAATACAGAGATATGGACGTCGTCTTCCTCCTCGACAAATCAACAAGTCTTCAAACACAGACCAACTTCAATAAGGAGCTTGTTTTCGTCAATGACTTCCTGGATGAAATCAACATCGATTCCGGATCCGCCCAAGTCGCAGTAATGACATTCAGCGACGACCCAAAGGTCGAATTCCACCTAAACCGCTACAACAGCAAATTTGGAGTCAAACAAGGTCTGCTTGGTGTCAAGTACACGTACGGCAACACTTACACAGACAGAGCTGTGAAGACCCTTGTTGACGACGTCCTAACTACCAGGAACGGGGCTCGCCCTGGAGTCATCAAGGTCGTTATCATTGTCACAGACGGCAAGTCGACAGATCCTTATGCCCTCGCGGACCAGACCGCACGGCTGCACAGACAGTCCGCTACCGTTTTCGCCATTGGTGAGTTTTGGAGACTTATTTTCATTTAGATTTCAACTTCGATAATAATTTCTGTTTTATTCACAGGTTTCATTAAAAATGTATATAAAGCCGACTTAATTGACGATATATTCCATATACTTAAATAGAGTCGTCTGTTTATTTATAAATTATACCTAAGCTGCATGACATACTTTGATAACTGACAGCTAAGTTATGAGTGCCATATCTTGACATGAACATGCAAGTAAACGCCTATACATATTGCAAACAAAAAAACACAAAAAGGGTTACTGCATTTCCCGTAATAACTGGCTAAGTAATGTCCCTTTACTCTGCAGGTGTCGGCGAAGCAATTGATGCATCAGAGCTACGTATGATGGCGTCCGAATCGGACAATGTGTTCATGGTGGATGATCTCAACGCCCTCCAGAACATCCGCTTACAGTTGGTGTCACGTGTCTGTGGAAATGACCGAAACAATTTCCCACTGGACCGTTTCCGCCTTGGACCAAGAGCCTAAGGTATTACCTACATACAGTAACGCATCATGCTACGAATTTCCCTTATGGTATCACTACTGCTATAATGCAGTTAAATCGTGGGATTGAAAGATTTAGCAAGTTTCAGCTTAGCTCAGCGGGGGAATGAGAAATTTGCTATATCCCGATTTTAATCTGTTTTTATCTGTTTACAACCTGCATATATATATATACATGTATTGAAAAATCGTCAAACCGATCGCCATATTTGCTCCTTAAAGCTGACAGTGCAAGTTAAAAAGCTTTCGATAAAAATATCGTAAAAAAGTGACTTTCTCTTCTAGCTACCGTTCGACATTTTAGTTCGTGCTTGCTTGGTAACGAGTATGGTTCTCGTTGGGTATAAAAAGCGTATTACCTGTCAAACCAGTTATCATTCTACAACTGACTGTCATACCATTCAATGTCTTCACTAACCCGAAGACTCGGAAACACCCCAGAGCTAATTTGCTACCTCTTGGAAATTCGCGGATATTGTTGTATCCAAAATCCCACGTGGTCGGGCAGGTGACCACATACCTTTTACGTCTGATCAGGGAATCGAACTCCTGCCGCCTTGGTGAAAGGCAAGTGCGCTATCCACTGCACCACCGACCACTCTTTGATGTAACAGCGATGCTCATCATTAATGATACATATTATTTGTAAAGAGACTTGTCAGATTTTGAAATGATAGACTATTAATAATAATATTCTTGAATACCGTATTTTTTATTTTACAGCAAGAACACCAGACGGCTCAGTGAGCACTCCTAGCTGACAAGATTCAGTAATTTTTTCAAATTTGTATTATTTTGATACAATAACCAAAGCAATGCAAATAGTCATTTTAATGACTCGTGTTTATACCAAACTTGCATTTTAAGAAATTCAGGTTAGAACGCAAAACGGGCAAATAATGTGTAATAATTAATGATAAAATTACATCGACGCCATTTAAAAGCCAACTTGTGTTTTGAAAATATAATTACATAATTTAAAATTTAGGTTATGACATTGACGTATTATTTTTCTAATATTGGCTTTGATAAATGGTATCGTATTCTAAAACTGCAAATTAAATTGTATAGAGGAAATCAGTATAGTTTTGTTTTGTTTTTATAAGTATTATTTTTGAGTATTTATCTTATGTAAATGTATTGATATAGTGCATTCCACATATAATTACATTCCATTATATAACATAGTCTATGTAAAAAAAGTAACTAGTGTACTTTATGTCACTGAACATTCCTTCTGGTTTTTTTCCCAATTACACGAGTTACGGCGTTTTGAGAGAAACATTTACAAAGAGTAGGAACACATTTTTAAGAAACATTTTTTAGTTTCATATCATGTTTAGCTCATAAAGAATGTATTTCTTTTCGTCTCTCACTCGACTGATCATGTTTTCACGGAAACCTGTCCCCCCACAACAACTGCATTCTCTTGTTAGATAAAGCCTCATTTTGTCATAGTAAATGAACGTATGTTTTCGTGAAACCTTTTAAGCAAGACAATGCATATTGTAAAATTGCAAAATTGATATAAATCTAGCTCATACCCACTCAATACTCTACCTCTTATAGATGCTGCCACGCTTGATGTAGTGCTGCCGTAGTAAAACATGGGGATCATACTAGTGCGAACAGTGAAATTTGGTTAGTCTTGACGTTGTATAGAATACAAAACAACCCGGTTTAGTAGAAAGACAAAATCCGAATACCTTAACTAAAAGAATCATATAGACAGTAGGTGTTTTTTCTGGAATCGCTCGATCTGTATGTTGACGAGGCGGAATATTTGGATTGTTCGTGAACGTCCTGTTACCAAAGTTTATACGCCACATTTGGATTAATATTGACCAAGTTCTTACATTTCCATGTCAGTATGCATACCAATATGTGCTCATCGACAAAATCGGTGATTATTTGTATAGATTTGTGAAGAGGGTGTTTGGATAACTGGGTTCCATTGTAATAGTGTGTATTTTTTATGTGTTTATCGTCACAATGTCAAAATTATCAAATGATCAGATAATAAGCACAAGAACCATGATGTGACAAAAAGTGAAATTATAATTTTACAATTTTTAAATTGAATTATTTCGACTGAAAAACATTGTCTTAATTCAGCGTCATTTACAGTCTAACTTACAGAGGATACCATTATTCTTCAAGCTTCTTCTTCTTTTCTTCCGAAAAGAGCTGAGTTTATCGTTGGCGTCCGCTAAGCTACACTAAATATACGAAATTAGATGACCACTAAATAAACACGGAACAACGAGTCTGGAAATGACAAATAAAAGTTTCCTTTAAGGTCTTTAAAAAATGCAATTTTTATATTTTTGTAATCTTTCGAGCTTAAATATTTCTCTGCATGAATTAGGACTAAAAGGTTGATATGTATTTTTTTTCAATGGTGCCAGTTTCTGTAACCGTGAGGATTAGATTGGGGATCGTATCGTATTGTGAAAGTAATATCGTGAATCGAATTGTGAAGATAAAATTGAGAAAAGTATCGTGTTGTGAATGTTATATCTAGATATGAATCGTTTTGTAATGTTATATCAAGAAACGTGTCTATATTGAAGGTTATACTGAGATAGGTATCAATTTAATGGTATATCGAGAAACGTATCGTATTGTGACTGTAAAATAGAGATCTGTTTCACATCGTGGTGTTTATATCAAGATAAGTATCGTATCGTGAAGGTTATATCGATATGAGTGGTATCGTGATGGTATATCAAGATATGTATCGTATCGAGGAGGTTATATCGATATAAATCGGTTCGTGATGCTATATTGAGTTATGCATATTAGCGTTACGTTAATAACAAGAATAGTATCGTATCGTGTGAGGTATATCAAGAAACGTGTAGTATCGTCAGTTATATCTAGATGTGTATCGTATCGTAAAAGTTTTATCGAGAAATATGTCGTTCGGGTTATATCGAATATGGCTCGCTTCGTGAACCATTGCTGGTACGTAATGTTAACTATATATGAAATGATATATTGATAGCTTTAACGTGAATACTAAATATGTACAATACTTCTATATTTAGAATTTTCACAATCCAACTTTTTTAGTTGGTATCGTGTATTATGTTACTGTTTAAAGAGCCCGCGTGTAAAACGAGATATTTTTCAGTTATTTTGGTATCATACTTTGATGTATAAATTAATTTCTTATCATTCAATATGCTTTGTGTGAGATGAATCTTGGACAAACATATGTTACATTTTACCAAATTTTATGAAAAAAATCATTGGTATCAATTTAATTATCAAGATAAAAATTAAATACTTGTTTGTTTAAAGTTGTTCATCAATATAAATAGTGCTGAGTAATGCGTTGCATAATGTTTTCTCAAATCGCATGCGTATGTTCATAAACGGCTGTCAAACTGTCAACATAATGGGAAACGTTTTTTGTAATGTAAGATGGTACTAACTTTCAATTACTTTATGACAAATTGTAAACATATATAGCCATGATTTATATATTACTCAACAATTAATTCATATAATGTTCAGATTTTTATTTTCATTGACCTCCAAAAATTGTGTTACAATATAATGTTATTAATAAAGATTCCTCTTTTATTTGATTTTAAACAAAGCATTCCTCGGAACGAATTCAGTATATACGATAAAAATAGGTAATTATTAATGAATGTCTTAGAGAGTTGCTTCAAGCTAAAGTACATCAGTAGACTTTTAACGACAGTCCCCTTTATTGATGTAATATATATATATACTATGTATAATAGTATAATTATCTTTTGAATGACGTCTTTGTTTTGCAACCATACATCTGAATTACATAAAAATATTGAGGAATTCGCTCTTTAAATGTTGAAATATATGTGTTGAAATTTACATTTTATCTGATCAGCACACTAAATGAAAAATAAACCATTATTTTATTAAACTACTTGTTATATTTTGCATAGATAGAAAGTATGCTATAAAGTTAATGCATCTGCTTATGAAAAGTCTGGTTGGATAACAAAGGCCTCTGCTAACAATGTATATATATATATATAACGTATTTTGTTCATGTTTGATTAATATGTCATTAATATTAATGGTGTATCATTATATTTTGTAAATGTATGTCAAATAATAAAATGCAGTAGCATTCTATAACATAACTGATCAGGTTTTGTTATTATTATTATTTAATCAGTTTTATATCCACTATCATTACGAAAAGTACTATTGCTGTTTTAAAATCGCGTTATCCGCCCCCCCCCCTCCCGCAACGATCCCTGTTCCACTGCTCTGTGTTTTTTCCCTATTTACAGTTACCTCCCATTAACTTCGGATGTAGAGCGCTTCCGTTGACCAGGTACATTTAGCTCAATTGGTTAAAGCGATAGTATAACAATCTGAAGTGACCCAGTGTTCGAAGAACCACTCATTTTTATACTACGAATACTTTTATTGATTATATTTTATTTCTCATAAAAATTCCGTTAGGTATGGTATTCCTTTCTAGAATTGACTTATCTAAGTTATATCATTGTCAGGGGGCAAAAGGATTCTAATACATAGAGAAATATGTCGGCATTGGTACGGGGATTCTGCAGTCTAGCAATAAATTTGTTGATGTTTTTTTTTTTCAATTTCCGTATCAAAATATCTATCTTAAACAAATATACAAGCAATTATTGAAATGTGGATTTTGTTTTTATTGAATTTAGACCGACTTTTAAGAAAAAATATGTATCATCTGATCGACTTTTTATTTCGGAATATATTGTCTAGGATCAAGTCCTGATCGTTGGGCCCAAAATTTACTTCAGTACCAGATCTCAGGTCATAATATCTAAGGTCTTGTTTTGCTCATCTGCAACACAGAAACGCAGAAATATATATCTTATCTACTCCTTACCCGTCTTCCCTGCAGGTCGGGGATCGAGAAAAATGTATCTAAAGCGACTAATGTGGGAGCCACCTGCAGAATCAGGGATTTGCTGTATTGCCCTCTATTTGGGGGACACAAGAGCGACCAAAATACATATGCTACACCGATTGCAGTATTTGGGATCTTTATATATTTCACTGCTTCTAACTTTCGTTTATTTCCTAAGGCCTTGCTTGGCAATACCTTCGCACAGGTGAGGAAGGCAATTGTTTCTGTACACTGGCTGGGACATACCAAAGTCTTTAAACATAGTAATTTATATCTCCTGCGTAACATTCAGCACTAAGGGCAATTGCAACAACTGGTTCACCCGATGTCAGTATAATGTGACCGGGTGGAATGGTGTGCTGGATGCCTTCGGCATGGTATTTCAGTGAGATAGCATTATAAAGTCGGCATCAGATCCGCGCTGTCACAACGAGGCAAATGCACTAACATACCCGGCTTGCAGCAACCTACACGCATGCACGAATACACAACACACATGGGGGCACGTCCTTAAATGACCTTAGCTTTTAATAGGACGTTAAACAAAATTAAACCTAACAAGCCAAACCCTTACCCGTCCCGTTGTTAGGGACTATTGATACGCCAATTAATGTGTCGCACTTTCCAAGACAAGCGTAGATTTCCCTTATTTTACTCAATTTTGTTTGTGAGTACATTGTTTGTACAATAAACTACAATGTTCTTAGCTGTTTATAACTTAATAAAACTTGTGAGTTCACCGTGTCTAAACATTCGCCTGTGATGTTCTGCGAATAAAACTGGCCTCAGACCGGTCAGGGAGCAATCGCAGACGACACGTCAGAGTGTCTAATAGGCAGCCGGAAGACCGGGTCGTCAGTTCCGGTAAGGCCGTACCCCCATAAAAAAAATTATGAAAACATTGCATGCACGTGAACAACTGGTTTTCATACCACCATTCACGTTAACTTATAGTTTACAAATAGTTAAAGAAATAAAGAGAAAAAAATACAATAAAAAAAAAAAAAAAAAAAATCCGTCAAAATTCTATTTTTTATGCATTGAAGTTTCTCAAAGATACATGTAATGATAACCTAAAACTTGAGATTTTAACAACGAGAAATAGGTAATTTCCGCTTTCAAAACAACAGTATTGATTAACAGTGGGGATTTGATTATTTTCATGAAAGAATGAAATGTAATATGTGTACGATAGGAATGTTTTTCCGACAATGACAATTTTCATACATGTAATTTAAGTTCATTAGAGTTATTGTTCTTCCTACGATGTTTTATAAAGCAAACGTGTTCCGTCTCGAAAATAGCCGCCAATTAACACTGATTGGAATGACAATAAAATAGATATTGTATTTTATTGCTGTAAGACATGAAAAAAGTAATGGAACCTAAATCCAATACTGTTTAAAATTTCATTAAATTATAATAAAAATGTTCGGGGTTTATAAAATGGAATTATATACATATTTTAATATAGGATTTAGGTTGTTAAGACCGATATTTCACTTCGAAATATCCGACATTTTCAAGTTGTCAGAGTTCGATTTATCCAATTTTTATTACTAAGATTAAACTGAGTTTTCGCCGGACCGACAAAATAATTCGAGTAATACGGGGTAATTTAGTTATGAGAGTTCGAGATAACAAAATTGGACTTTAGGACTCACCAGACGGTGGGAAAAATGCTTCGGATAAGAAAATGAAAACGTCACACTACCATCCCTTTTACTTCAGTTTTTGTAAAGAAAATTGAATTAAAATAAATAGAAAAAGAAGCAAAGACATTTTCCTTAATTTCAAAAATGCTTTCTGAGGGTAACTAAAGTTGATGATCGTTTATTGATCTGGGCACAGTTGTTCAAAAGGTGATTAGCTTAATCAGTGATAGCGCCAATTTTCAATTTGTGTATCTTTAAGACACAGCCATTGAGTTTGTTACAACTTTCCAGATATCAAGTATTTCGTGGAGTGAATTTACATGCAAAATAGTGTAGTGAGATTTTACCTTGTATATCGACAAAATTATTAAAGGTTAAAAATGTCCACCTTTTAATAAACTTGGCACCTTAGCCTGTTGTGCTACGAATTGAAAAGTCCAGGTCGCGTTTTTAAAAAGGAGAGGTACAATCAAGACGAACCAGATGTTTTGTTCTCATCCTGTTTCCATTTTAAACTGATAACTTTGTGTCTCTCATAGATGACATACAGCTAGGCCTCTGACAAACGACACAGGAAGGTTTTTTCTCAAGGCGATCTGTATTTTTTGGGTTACTTCTTTGTTTTATGCTTCAGAAGAAAAAGAACACACACATTGGTGCTAAACTGGTTTGGTTTTATTTTGTTTTATGTCCTATCAACAGCTAAGGTCATTTAAGGACGTGCCTCCATCTGTGTTGGGTATGCGTGCTTGCGTGGCAGGGTGGCAAGGTATGTAAGTGTAATTGCCACCTTGTGATAATGCGGATCTGATGCCGACTTTATAGTTCTATCTCACTAAAATACCATGCCGAATGTATCAGCGCAGCATTCCGTCTGGTCGCACTATACGGACAACAGGTGAACCAGTTGTTGCCATTCCCCTACCTACTGAACGTTAAGCAGGGAATAAAAACTTCCATTGTTACAGACTTTAGTGTGTCCTGGCCTTGGGACAGAACCCATTGCCTTCCTCAAATGGACGAACATTCAACATTTAAGCCAAAAGTCAGGTATTGCCAATCAAGGCGCTAGAAAATATAAGGTTGTAGAGGTAAAAACAAATATAAATATCCCAAATATTATAATAGGCGCAGCAGATTTATTTTGGTCGATTTTGTGTCCTAAAGTGAAGGACAAATGCAAATTCCCAATTCTGCAGGAGATTCCCACATTAGTCGCCTCTTAAGATACATTTGGTAACAGCAGGCGTATTTTGAAGATTATGAACACATTGCATGCAAGGGAACAACAGGTTTTCATACCACCATACACGTTAACTTATAGTTCACAAATAGTTAAATAAATAAAGAGATAAAAAAAAGAAAAAAAACATCCGTCAAAATAATAACTCTGAATTGTGTTTACATGTACCAATTTATGCTTGAAGTTTCTCAAAGATGCATTTAATGATAACCTAAAAACTTAGATTTAAACACTGTTAAACATCGCCGTCGACAAGGGTTGGTTAAACATTTTCCAATGAGAATTAGGTCATTTCCGCTTCCAAAACAACAATATTGATTAACAGTGGGGATTTGATTATTTTCATGAAAGAATAAAAGGTATTATGTGTACGATAGGAATGTTTTTCCGACAATATCAATTTCCATATATGTAACTTAAGTTCGTTAGAGTTATCGTTCTTCCTACGATATGTCATAAAGCAAACGTGTTTCGTCTAAAAATGGCCGCCAATTTGATTGGAATGACATTTTTTTATTTTTTTTTATTGCTGTAAGACAGAAAAAAGTAATGGAACCTAAATCCAAAATTGTTAAACATTTAATTAACTTAGAATAAAAATGTTCGGGGTTAATAAAACAGAATGATATACATATTTTGATATAGGATTTAGGTTTTTAAGACCTATATTTTACTTCGAAATATCCGACATTTTCAAGTTGTCAGAGTTCGAATTATCAAAGTTTTCATTACTAAGATTTATTTGAGTTTTTGCTGGAACCGACAAAAACAGTTCGAGTAAAACGGGGTCTTTGACTTATAAGAGATCGAAATAGCAAAGTTCGACTTAGATCTCAACAGACAGTGGTTAAATTGCTTCGAATAAAAAAGTCAAAAGTCATTCTAATATCCTTTTACTTCAGATTATTTTTAAAGGAAATTGGGTGAAAAATAAGAAATACAAGCAAAGACAGTTTCCTTAATTTCAGAAATGCTTTATGAGGGAAACTCCAAAGTTGATGATCGTTTATTGATCTGGAGCCTGTTGTACTCCGTGTGTAGTATTTCGCAAAGGTGTATTGATGAGGAAGCAAGAAGTCCAGGTCGCGTTTAAAAGAAGGATAGGTACCATCAAGGCTTAACAGATGTTTTATTCTCATCCTGGTTCCAAATTTAAAGTATATACTGTGTGTCTCTGATAGCCGACATACAGTTTGGCGTCCGACAAAAAACACAGGTAAGTTTTGTTTTCTAAAGGCGATCTATATTTTTGGGGGGTTTTGTTTTGTCTTTGTTTTATGCTTAAGAAGAAAAAGTACACCTACATGTATTTACACATTGGTGCTATATTAGCTTGGTGTTATTTGTTTGACGTCCTACTAACAGCTAAGGTCATTTAAGGACGTGCCGCCATGTGTGTTGGGTATGCATGGTTAGGTGGCAGGGTGGCAAGGTATGTTAGTGTATATGCCTCCTTACGATAACGCGGTTCTAATGCCGACTTCATAGTGCTACAAATGTATCTCACTTAAATACCAAACCGAATGCACTCAGCGCAGCATTCCGTCTGGTCGCATTATACTGACAACAGGTGAACCAGTTGTTGCCATTCGCCCACAAACTGAACGTTAAGCAGGGAATAACAACCTCCATTGTTACTGACTATAGTGTGTCCGGACCTTGGGCAATAACTGTTTGCCTTCCAAACCTGAACGAACGTTCAACATTAAAACCATATGTGAGGTATTGCCAAGCAAGGTGCTAGGAATTATAAAGATCCCAAATATGACCATGGGTGCAGCAGATTGTTTTGGTCTCTTTTGTGTCCCAAAGTGAAGGGCACAAAAGCAAATCCCCAATTCTGCAGGAGATTCCCATCACATAAGTCGCCTCTTACGATACATTTGGTAAAAGCAGGCGTATTCTTATTCTCGATTTCTGACGTGTACTGGGTGATTTACGCTAGGATTGTCGCCTATAGAATCCCGTAGGTAGTACATATTCCTTTAATTCTTCCTTTAATTTGGCGTTAATCGCAGTCACTTAATTCTATATGCGTTCATGCCCTCATACTTCTGTTCTTTCACTTTCTTCTCTAATACATGTCACTACAAACAGATAACACAAGTCGTTTGAAACCAAATATATATCAAATTGCAGGTTTTGATCAACAATCATAATCCGGACATTATTGACCATATTCCATTCTAACTGATTTTGTAGTATACGCCGTATCATGTTTCCGGTAAAAGTCACACTTTAGAAAGACTAAATAAAAGCAAGGATTATTATAATTAATAATATTTGTTGAAAGAGGTTTTCATATTGTAAAATAGTCATTACATCTACAAAATCAAGCAGTATTAAAACGGCAAAATTTTACATCGATTGTATTAAACATAAGGGATAGTCGACGTTGGAGACAGTATCTGCGAAAATTAAGCACATCCACATGTTTAGATCGCGAAACAATAATCCATGCACAGTTAATTTTTCTAACTTTGAGAATTTTTGTGAAATGAGCTGGCATAAGTTATCCGTAGGTTTCAGATGTTTTTTTAAGCTGAGACCAATCAAGTTCTGTCTTTTCGTATTGCAGAGTTATCTGCTCTTGTGAGCAGGTATTGGTTGTTACATCATTTGCTTGTGAGAGAAACGTCATAAATTTTTGAGAAAAACGACGTGATTTTCTCACACAAACTAATGACGTAACAATCAATACCTGCTCACAAGAGCAGATAACTCTGCAATACGAAAAGACGGAATACACATATTTGTGGTTGCTATTTTCTATAGGGAAGGCAAGGATCATGCTAATTTAAAAGATGGGAGAAAACCAGGAACTGGAGTCATGCAATAAGTGATCTTGTAAGAACATATCTCACAAAAGTCTAGATATTAAATAGGGAAAATAACTTTTGGTGAAAATGTGAAATACATAATGATATCTAAAGATACGGACAGTAATTTTCAGGTCAAAAAGAAAGTTTGGTTTCAAGATCACAAGATAAAGAATGCTGAATATTTTCATATATATTCTATTTGCTCTGCAACCCATTATATAAACATTACCAGCAGAAATGCAGTTCATTTGATTATGAAAGCATAAACTCTCGTGACGTAACACGTGGTTTACTTATGACGATATAGATTAACCTTGGTCAATGATAGTCTTGTCGCTTCGCTTCGAATAACACGGAGAATTCCACTGCGCCAAACGCTCAAATGACTACGGTTACTTATTGACGCCAATTGTAGTTAAATTGGGCTGTTCCGCCAATGTCGGTTAAGGACGACACATATACAAAACGCAATAAATAAATATATTTTTTAAAAATAAATAAATACAATTAAACAAATGTTCTATAGTAAAAATGTAAATATATGGATTAAACAGCCCTATTTTTATTTTTTATTTTTTTTGTTCATGCAGGTATGAACGCAAATCGGTTACATCCATATGGATTAAACATGAAGCCATATCGATGTAGCCGATTTGCGTTCATACCGGCATGAATTTTTTTTTAAAAAAAGCGCCGTTCAATCTCTATTTCAAACTTCATAATCAGGTTGATTGGAGAACATATTGCTTAGCGGCCGCTAACTTTTGAAACTTAAATATTCATATTATTAAAAATTATAAATTTGTTTTGTCACATTTTCTAATGAACCTAGAAATACAAAAACAACGCGCATGCATGGTGTAATTTCACAAGTTTGAACACTTAAACATTAAACAAAATCTTTGGTGAGACGCTGTTGGTTAATGGCAAATGACAAATGGATACCCATCAAAACATAACCCATCCCAACGATTCAAAATCTTCGTACATGTACTGTGTAAAAATTAATAACTACAAAACTGTCTAAATAAGTCAATTTAACAACCGAAGTAGGACAGAAAAAAGGCTAATATCACAGCTTTCAATACTTCTAATATTGGTGGCAAAGTGATTAAGGTCATAGGAGTGTATTGCTAAACGGAAATAGGACGTGCATCCCTAGTTGAAAATCCAATGGAGGGAGACAGTATCACAATTTCCGCATATTCTAATGTTTAATATTAAACTGATGAATATTGTATGCTTATTATTGACAGAACAGTGTTCTTTAAATATTACAGTATTGCAAAGCAATCCAGGCATTAATTCAGTTGTTTTTTGATCAATGAGTCACATGTGTCCATTTTCCTACTTCAGGAAACCGGCTACCTATTTCACTACTGTGAAGTTTTTCAAGAACGGTAACTCTTGCATGCAATTACTTTGTGTATATGGTTTTATTATAAAGTGTCAATTTTAATCGTTTATAGATGATTAATTTTACACAATTTCAGCATTTATGAAATTGATATACATTAATGCAATACTAATCTATGTTAGTATCATTTTTATTGACATTATTTAGCAACAAAAATGTGTGTTTCAATTTTTTTTTCAAAATTCAATCCTTTTTACATCAATTTCCATTTGAAATCCTTAAAATTCTGACAACCTATATTTTTTGGGGGGCAGAAAATTTTCTTTACTTCAAAGCAATATAACAACAAAATTTGAATAAATTCTACTGAGAAATGGCGACACAATCCTATTACCTTAAGGCGTCTGACATTCTGCTACCACTATCCCTCCGCCACTAGGTCGCGGGTTCGAGACCAACGTGGAGCAGTCGCCAGGTACTGGCCGTAGGTCGGTGTTTTTTTCTCCGGGAACTCCGGCTTTCCTCCACCACCAAAAGCTGACACGGCCTTAAATAACCATAGCTGTTAATAGGACGTAAAACACAAACAAACCAAAACTTCTCATATTAAACCTTTTATTATAAAATTCATGGTTTGAGCATCTATTAATTGGGTCCTTATCTTGATTCTCCAGACAGCAATGTTTATAATAATAATAATAATAATAATAATAATAATAATAGACTTTATTTAAATTCGATAACACATTGAGTCAATGACTCGTCTCACATGTGGTCGACATAAAATGTACAATATTTACAACATGGATATGACATACACGTACATACATAAGAAATTAAGTAACATATCACAGGTAATAAAACATTGTATTATCTTTAAAACAAAAAACAAAAAACAACAACACACTCCTGCATCGTGTATCCAATAACAAAACTACGTAATACATATCACAGATATATTGGTATGTGATATCACACAGGCTTACAATAAAATATGTCACACGTGTATTGGAAAATAAAAAGTTGGCTAAATATCATGCAATGCATAAATTCTCATGCTGCATTTTAGAAGATTTAAGAAACGCATAATGCGTCTAATATACATACATGTCATTGTGACAAAGGGTAAAAAATTACAGAATATACGCTAATGTAGCGTGAGTTAATACCAAAGTGTTGATTAGGGCATTAGGAATAGTAATTAAGATAAATTCTAAAACTTCATTTAGATACACGTGTGTCATATTCCAGGTACTACAGCAGATAGATATTTCAGGAGGGAAAGGGGGTGCAGATTTTTAATTTTCTTTACACTTGTCTTTATAGATTACATTGAGATGTTTTTTGCACTCGAACTTAAAACTGTTTAGTGATTGGCATTTAGAGACAGTGGTTGGCAAATTGTTCCAGAGTGTCGGTCCATTATATTTAAAAGAGCTTTTGAATTTTTCCGTTTTGTGTTTGGGTACAACATATCTACCTGCCGCAGCTGACCTGGTTTGGATAGTATGGACATTGCTCACAAGAGTATTGCAGTCTAGGTAATTTGGACATAGCTTGTTTATTACTTTAAACATCAGAACACATTCGTTATATTCAACTCTGTACGTAAAAGGCAGCCATTTTAGTTTTACAAACAGCTGTGCACCGGGAACAGTATAGTCGGCATCTAGTATAATCCGCAGTGCTCGTTTTTGAATTCTTTCAAGTTTGTGTACCAGTTTTTGAGAGCAATGTCCCCAAACGTTCGAGCAAAAGTCAATATATGGTAGTATAAAACAGTTGTGGAAAGTGATTCTTGCCGATACTGGTAAGAATTTCTTTATTCTACATAGTTGATAAATTTTATAATTAAGTTTCTTTAGGACGTCTTGTACATGTTTTTCCCAAGTTAGGGTGTCATCAATACGAACGCCTAACAGTTTTTCATTTTGTACAACTTCCAAGTTTGAATTTTCAGCTATAATATTTAGATTTTTCTTTAGTCTCTGTTTTTTTTTCTTACTTCCAATTAACATTACTTTGGTTTTATCAGTATTTATGACCATTTTGTTGACATCACACCATTTCTTTACATGATTAAAATCCGTTTGTAGACATGATTCGATAACATCCAAATTTGTGTCTGCTTTTTGCATTGAAGTATCATCTGCATACATAAAAAGTTCACAATGTTTTGAGCAGAGTGGCAGATCATTGACATATAATAAAAACATCAAAGGCCCAATTATGGAACCTTGAGGTACACCAGTTGTAATTTCACAGGCATCACTTAAAGAACTTTTGAAAGATACTTTCTGAAATCTGTTTGAAAGGTATGAGGTAAAAAACATAATGGAATTTTCAGAGCATCCATATATACTCATTTTCTGGAGTAGTATCTTATGGTCAACAAGGTCAAAAGCCTTACGAAAATCAATATACATTACACCGATGAGGTTTCCCTTGTCCAATTCATCATACCATCTATTTGTAAGTGCAGTAAGAGCAGTTTGACATGAATGCATATTTCGAAATCCTGATTGATTCTCAATGATTAGATTATGTTGGTTTAAAAACTTATAAAAGGTAGTCTGCACATGTTTTTCTAAGAGTTTGGATAAAATTGGAAGAATAGATATGGGTCTGTAATTACTTACAGAGCTCTTTTCGCCTTTCTTAAAAATTGGATTGACTTTAGCATGCTTAAATTGGTCTGGGAAAACATTCTTTGCAATACATATGTTTAATAATTTGGTAATTGACTCAGACACAACCTCTGCGGACAGCCTAAGGTATTTTGCAGAAATTCCATCAAGGCCTGTAGCTTTGCTACAGTCAAGATTTTTCAGGAATTTGTTCACAAAAGCAAGTGGTATTTCTGGAATATCATAGACTGTGTTTGCAGGGAGTGTTTGAGAGACAAATGCTTGAGTTTCTTTAAGACATATTGTCGGAGAATCTGAAACAGTTTCAGAGATATATTCCTTTACAATATTTGTAAAGAAATTATTAAAATTATTTGCAATTTCTTCCGTTTCGTCTATTTGTTTACCGTCAGCAATAATAAAATTTGGTTTTTCATCAGGTTTGTTTGGAACCAGTTGTTTAAAGTATTTCCAATACTTGTTTGGTTCTTTTTTGCATGCATCTAGAACATTTTTATAAAATTCACTTTTCGCTTTTTTCACTAAAGCTGTTACACGATTTCTCCATTTTTTATAGAGTTCAAAGTTAGAATCCTGTTTATGATTGTCTCTAATTTTGATTGCTGTGGAGATGTCTTCATTCCACCACTCAGGAATTGTTTTGTGTTTGACCCGCTTTTCTTTAAACGGCGCAGTTTTGTTTAAAATATCTGTGAAAGTTTTATTCCACGACTCGACCGCATCATTTACATCCTCTGTTGTTGTTATATTAGGGATGTCCCAGTGGGCTGAATTTAGGTTATTATTGAAAACATTTTCGTCAAAGTTTTTTGTACATCTGTACCTAATGGTGTTGATACCTGTCGATGTTTTGTATACTGACCTTTTTATGGCATACACAGGGTAGTGGTCACTTACGCTAACACTGCTGGTATCACACTTTATAAAGTCCGCTGGTATGTTGGTCCAGATATGGTCAATACAACTGGCAGTATTCTCGGTTGTTCTTGTTGGTACATTAACTATGTTATATAATCCATAACTCTCCATGTCAGAGCGGAGTGACTGATATTCTGGTGATATTGATGTGCTCAACGCGTTTAGGTTAAAGTCACCCATTATCACCATCGAAGCATTTTCTGACGAGGCAGCATCAAGTGTAGCTCCTATTTTTTCAAACCAGTCGTGTTTTACACCCGGTGGTCTATATAGAGAACACACAAGAACCGGTTTGGTATTACTTTGGCAGATTTCGATCCAGCAAAGTTCTAGATTTTCATTGTTTAGTTGGGGTTGTTCGCTGTATTTAATGCTCTGATTTATGTATAGAGCAACGCCGCCCCCTTTCCTTTGACGTCTATCACGTCTGATGAAGTCATATCCAGGAATTGAAAATTTTTCGCTGGGATGAGTTTCTGTAAGCCATGTTTCACATAATCCAACCACATTTGGCTTACACTGTTGAATTTGAAATTTAATTTCTTCAAAATGTTTAGGAAGACTCCTTACATTCCATGAAACGAAGGAGAGTCCCTTTTCAGCATCTTTAGGTAGAAGTGTTTGTAGAGGAATTATATTCACAGTACTAGAGTCTTGAATACACTGGTCACATATCCATGTAATTAGATCGGCTGAGCTATCGGCCAATAATGTGTGACCATTGTTTAAAAGACACTCATTGTGCCAGGATCTAAGACACCCGACACAATATACTTCAACACTGTCAAACTGTACAGGTAAATCACAAAAGGAACAGCCCTGGTGTGTGGAGATAATCCCTTCACTGGTAGGGGGATTAATACCTGACGGCCCTGGGTTGAGTTCCACGTCGGCAGACAGTAGTAGTAGTAGAACGGAAACATATTGATTAGTTCTCACATTTTCACTTGTTATACCCTTTTCTGGTATAGAGAAAAATGTTTTGATTAAGATATTTTTCCCTTGCCAATTTAGTTTTGCCACATCTATCTTCCAATGGTTTCCTAGTAGTCTGTTTGGCTTGTCTGCAGGATTTGGTTGGTTAAAAATCCCTCTGAGGTATACTAAGACAGCAAATATTAGGAGAGGTGTGACCAAACTTCCTACCCCGGCGGCCATTTTTTTAAGATCCGCACGCGATTTGTCTTGTGATGGTCTGGTCGTCGTTTACGAAGAGCGAATCGGCATGGTATCCCGAGTCTAAAGCCAATGATGTTTCCAACCTCCTCCATGTCGTCACCGACCTCACTGCACAGTTGGAAGAATTGAAACATGATCGTGAAAAAGACGTGACGGAATTATCTCTCTTGAAAGCTGAGAACATGAGGTTTAAAGAGAGAATGGAAATGGAAACCAATTACCTTCGCCAACGAGTCACTCAGCTAGAATCGTCTGCACAACAAGCCATGCCACTGTTAAACCAAACAAGGATTAATCGTCAGTCAGCTACAACAGGTATAGAGCAATTTGATGAGTTTTACTTGTATTTTTAGCGTTTAATGGTATTTGTTATTATTATCAATATCGGTACACACTGTAGATCAATTCAATAGTCTTTACACCAAAGCGACTATTTCACGTAATTGTCGCTTCTAATTAGAAAGGAAATGTAAAATTAGTGACCTCCCTTGTTTACGCTGGTGACTAAGTAATCAGAGAGAGAGAGAGAGAGAGAGAGAGAGAGAGAGAGAGAGAGAGAGAGAGAGAGAGAGAGAGAGAGAGAGAGAGAGAGAGAGAGAGAGAGAGAGAGAGAGAGAGAGAGAGAGAGAGAGAGAGAGAGAGAGAGAGAGAGAGAGAGAGAGAGAGAGAGAGAGAGAGAGAGAGAGAGAGAGAGAGAGAGAGAGAGAGAGAGAGAGAGAGAGAGAGAGAGAGAGAGAGAGAGAGAGAGAGAGAGAGAGAGAGAGAGAGAGAGAGAGAGAGACATAGACAGACAGACAGAGACACAGATAGAGTGACGGACGGACAGACAGAGATTCTTTGTAAATCAAAGAAAGAAATGTTACTGAATAAAAACATGACATATTTTACCTTACAGATAAAGGACATACGGCGTTCTATGCAATACTGGATCAACCACTCCACGCCCCTCCTGACGGCACGACGATTAAGTTCAGCAGGGTGATCACTAACGTGGGAAACGGCTACAAAGCTAACTCTGGAGTCTTCACCTGTACGGCTTCAGGGCTGTACTATTTTAGCTGGAGTGTGGGGGAGGTAAACCACGGTCACATCTACTCGGAACTCAAAAAGAATGGCATGGCCGTGGGTTGGGCTCTATCCGGAGACAACACTATTGCATCTGCGACGTCCCAGTCTGTCATCTTACATCTGGAAACCGGTGAAGAAGTTGATATCGTAATAACATACACCGGAAATTCTCCAGTTTTGTGGGAAAAGTTCTCATCCTTTTCCGGCTTTTTAATTGTTTAATTATAAAAGCTGACGAAAATGTAAGAAATATTGTACTGAATGTATGTGTTATACAATTAAAAATACAACAAGAGATTTGATTGTTTATGTTATCAGTTTTACAGCGAGTTATGAGAAATATTTTGTATTTTACCTGTCATCAAACGCCAACATATAGATTGGTTTATCCAGAAAATTCGACCAAATTTTCAAAATATACATCTGCAATGTATATGGTTTATAATAATTATAACATAGAGCCATTTACCACGTTATTTCCTTTCATTCTTTTTTCGTAAAATTTTGCATCTATCATGTGTAGATTCTACCTCTGAAAAACTACAACTAATTGTATAGGAAATATCAATAGTTAACAATGAACACACTTGAATTCCTTATTCAACTAAACCCACTTCGACCACATGAAATGGATTATGCATAATGCAACGCAAAATGGAAACGGGAACGATTTACTTTTGGTACCGGGTTCTTGACTGTGTTACCTCCCTTTGAACGTTCTCTCACAATCGTTCGCCAAACACGACACTAACGCGAATTAGCCGAATTGAATGACAGTAGGAGAATTTTTCTACACGCACACAGGGAGCAATTTAGCTGCGATATTGTTGCCCTTGCATTTAAATAAAAGAAAACTTTGTTCATCCCTGGTAAATTTCATTCTGCGTTGTTTGTGCCTGCTCCGGTTCGTTGTATCAGAATACCCGGTGCGTAGAATGATATTTGGAGAAAAATATATTCATCTTTCCAACGATACCACACGTCTGTGTACACCCACAAGATGTGTGAGTTTTGCTAAGGAAAAAAATAAATGGATCAATTTTACGACACGAGCACTTTCCGCTTTTTTTAGTGTAGTGGCCACCACTGGGACGGGAAGGATTAGGGCAGGGTTGTATTTAGAGTGTTGATCCAAACCCTTCATTAGTCGAACATTACTGTCTAAACACCACGATACGCCAAACTTACATCGACAGAAACAAATTATCAGGTTTCTTAGGGTAGACATACACATTGTGTTGGGAGAAGAACTCCCGCCTTAATCGTCTTAACACTTACAGTAAGTCGTTCAGGGGAGTTAACTCCAAACCCAGAACCGACTAATACTACTTCGTTTACACAGGGGAAAGTCTAAAAATACAAACTTTGTCCTAATTAACTCGACCCAGTTGTACATGTATAAAGCATAGTCAGCTTGCAAACAACTTAATACAAAACTTAGATCTCGTATTGTATTTCATAAAAGTGCAATTCAAGCTAAAGACAAATATGTACAAGGACTCAAAATATGCACTGCAGACAAAAATCATAAAAAAATGTAAATTCACACATTTTTAAAAAATCACGTTTATTTTTATTGACATACAATGTATTTACAACTCGGTCCATATCCTAGCCTAGTAGCCCATAGACATGTAATGTATTACTTAACTTATACTACGTATTTATTACCCAATATCTGATAACAGGGTTACCCCTGTAATCAATCAATATTCGACTATACAGGGGCGTATAACAGGACAGGATTTCCATGGCTAATGTCCATTGTTTTATTTGTTTATTGCTTAATTTTTAGATTCCAAGCCAGATCTGACACATACACAACAAAGACAGGGTTCTGTTTACGCTAGAAATATGATCAATTAATGACTTGTGTTGAGGTGAGTATGTGATTATATAGACAAGATAATGGGATATTAACCGAGACGAAGTCGAAGTCAATCACTATTCAGGTTTATATAACAAATATTCTCCGAAATACACGTCATTGTTATATGAAATATGAAATTCGTCAAGAAAATGTGCTCCATTTGTTAGATAACATTAATATTGTAACGTTGCAATTGAAGTGACGTCATTAAGTGATTAATGACCAGATGTTTCTAAAAATAGTAACACTGGGTCAGTACCAGATGTCACCGTTGAGAATGCCTTTATATGCTTTTATCATGTTTAATACAAGTTTTACATAACAGCCTTTCAAATATATTTCAATGCTTGAATAAATTTTAATGCATATCAGAATAGAAAATATTTTAACAAAAGTTTTTACAATTTAGCAATGCCCTCTCATGTAAACATATTTAAAATAAACACACAGGTTAACCAAATATTCTACAAAAATATTTAGGACTGAGATGCGACAAAGAAAAAGAGTTAAATCAATCGTATTATGGAATTATAGAAAAAAGACATGATATTAACTCACACAATCCACCACGTTTCATACGATAGAACTAATATACATTTCGTACCCGTGTCCATGACCTTTGACCTGTGGGTATATTAGTATTCAAGAAACCGTTCATATATCACGTGGGATGGTGGGATGGTTCAAGGGTCCCACCAATGAGTGACACCAGATTTGGCACACCAAGACCGTAGCCGATTCCGTAGCAGATACATTTCCCCCGACAATTCAATCATTTCTTGTACATCTGATATCTCGCGTTGCTTCTTTGTTTATGGTTTTATAACTAATGTTGTATTTGTTTACATCAAACCCATTTTCACGTATGACTTTTGCCTTATTCAAAGGAAAATACATGACATTCTGAGTGACAATTACCACGGTGTAATGTGTTATTATTTATCTGTCAAAAGGGGAAACAGATAATATAACGAAACACTTTTTATAGTATATTTGATAAGTGCTCATTGAACTTCGGTCAGTCCAGAATGTGTCACAGTTTTACCGGTAGGACTAATGATAAATTATTTCTACATTTCTGACGTATATACATAAGTCAATCGGTGTACAATAAGAAAATAAAACGATCATTGTAAATTATCCGGAAAGTAATTTCCCGGCTGGCGAGGTTGAATCTCATCAGCTGTCAACGTGTTAAAATATCTGTCTAGACCTCTAAATAACTCAATCTGTTTCTTCAACATCTAGACATTTTGAGATATGTTTCGCCGACGTTACGACAGTAAGGTTAAATGTCACGATATGTCGTGCTGCGCGAGATGAGATATTGACCAGGATAACAAAATCTTCATCGATTACATAAGAAAAGTTCAAAAATGCACTTCAAAACGCGGTACGTGTGTGTGCACCAGGAAGTGTCGAAAGTTACTTAAATTCAGATATAGTACTGCAAGAGGTAAACTATTAGCCGAGTTTACAAAAACTGGATCAGTAATTTTCGTCGGATGTCAAAAAACGGAGATTTTCACCTGTTTTCTGCTGTTTACAGAAATTAGAACTTATTTTTCTGATAAATTATTTTATTTTCTCTAAGTTCAAACAAAGACTATTATGGCTGGCTGATCTTTATAGAAAATTTTGAAAGTGTTCCAGGTAATGTAAAAGAAAAAATGGCATAAATATCACAAATCTTAGCGGTTTGGAAAACCCACTGCTTTATGAAGAGGCCGTCCAGTTGTTGGTGCGGGGGAGGGAAAGTCGCATCGCTTGGGGCTGCGGTTTTATTTTCAACTGCTTTAATACTGATCTATTTTCTTCTTCTATTTTTTTTGCAAACATGTTCACACCTACTGTGTTATAGCAAGGGTTGAGGCAAACAATTTTTGATGAAAAAAAAATGCAACTCATTCAATTTCGGATTCCATACCTTATGGTATTCTAGTAGTTATTCAAGACAGTCTTTACTATGCAATGGTTTGTACAATGCAGAAGTTTGTTATGGAAATTGTCATTACATCTTGTATTTCATGCTGAAAAATCCATATAGTTCAAAGAGAGTGCTGAAATGTCAACAAAGCCGTAATTCGACCACAAAATTGGTTGGACTTGGGTAAATTATATAAAAAAAGTCACCAGGACAATAAGACCAAGTGTATCGAAAGGATGAGCGTTTGCTGCTGACATAAACAAGACTACTACTTTATCTCCATTGCTCCAGTCTATCCTGCTGTAGAAATATACATCGGCATCATATATAACAGTTATAATAGGGTCAGACACAAATGACCTGTCGCGTTAACCTTTCCTGTCCTGTTACGTTCCTTGTGTATGTATGCCCACCCTTTCTTTCGAGTACATCATACACGTGCAGAGACAGGTTATCAGTTATAATGTCAGTTTTAACAATAATTTAATAGCGTTTTGAAGTCAGAAGTGTTTTATATAGTTCATTACATATATACAAGTGATTTCTGAACGAAATATGATTTTCTTATACAAGAATGCACGTACAATGCTGAAATTCGGAAAGTTTATTTTTAAATATATTTATGTTTGGTGCTGATATCACATCATCCGGAAGGCCGTTTTATTAATTTTACAACGCTCTTCCTATTTTCAATGTTTGAATGTTGTGGATAAAGGTTTTTGGAATGCCCCCTTGTACCATGTCTTTCGGGAAAGTCCTGTCACAATTTAAGAAAGTCCGACGTTTGTCGATTGCTACTATAACATAACCTATTGCACGTCTGAAGTTCAAAGTCGGTACATTTTGTAAGTTCAGTCTTTTAAGCCGCTCCCGATATTGCAGATCTCTGAATCGGGGTATTTGTTACGTCGCTCTTCTTTGAACCCTTTCCAACAAATCATTATGCATAGTTTTATATGGGTAACACACCGTGTTTACATTTTCTAAATGAACTATAACAAGAGTTGTATGTATTAGCGGAAAAGTGTTTTCATTTCAGTATTGAAAAGTTCGTCGAATGAGCGCGAACATTGAATTTGCCTTTTTTACCTGCTCACTTATTTGGTGTTCAAATGTTAGGGCATTGTCCATACATACCCCAGATCCTTCTCCTCCCATTCTTTATCTAGTGCTTCATTTCTTAGGTACAATATTTTATTTTTTCAATACACGGCCGATGTGCAAGGATTTGCATTTTCCACGATGGAATCTCAAGAGCCATTTGCCGCTCCACTCAGAGAGTCTTTTCATATCCGTTTGGAGATCGTCTATAAATTCAAGCCCACGAATCACCCTGTACAATGCAGTATCATGAGTAAAAACGTAACAAGAGGAGGTAGTAATCTCTGGAAGATCGTTTATGTATGTTAGAACAGAATGGGTCCCAGGACAGATCCGTGGGGTACCCTAGTATCTGGAAGATCGTTTATGTATGTTATAACAGAATGGGTCCCAGGACGGATCCGTGGGGTGCCCTAGTATCTGGAAGATCGTTTATGTATGTTAGAACAGAATGGATCCCAGGACAGATCCGTGGGGTACCCTAGTATCTGGAAGATCGTTTATGTATGTTAGAACAGAATGGGTCCCAGGACGTATCATCGTTAATATATGTTAGAACAGAATGGATCCCAGGACGGATCCGTGGGGCACCCTAGTATCTGGAAGTTCGTTTATGTATATTACGAATAGAATGGGTCCCAGGACGGATCTGTGGGGTGCCCTAGTATCTGGAAGTTCGTTTATGTATATTACGAATAGAATGGGTCCCAGGACGTATCATCGTTAATATATGTTAGAACAGAATGGGCCCCAGGATGGATACATGGGGAACCCTAGTATCTGGAGGATCGTTTATGTATGTTAGAACAGAATGGGTCCCAGGGCGGATCT